AATTTTGATTATTGATTATTAAAAAAAGACTTTAATTGATTTATGCCCAATACTGAATTATTCAAACTTTTAAATTACGTCAACTTTATCCATTGTTCGAATGTGTATCAATTATTTAAATCTTATAAATTATCTGATTTTATATTAATTACATAACATTGAGCAAACGATATATTTGTATGTTACATTTTAAGTAATTTTGTAGTAATCGCGAAATTTGAGAAGACAATCGATTAGACTTCATTGAATCGATTAGATATTTACTCGGCCAAACAGCAAAACGCGACACAAAGCATCGATTATTATGGGAAGGATCGAGGGAAATCTTTGAATTGTGATTATAATTTCTAAATAAGTATTCTATGATTATTTTCATACCACTGTCTTGTATAAAATCACACAGCAGTATTTATTCGTTGGTTCTATATCATATAGGCTGCGTTCGGGGAGACGCTATTTAGCGCTATGAGCGTCCTCTATCCTTGTTCAACTTTCAGGAACAAACAAGAATAGAGCACACTCATAGCGTTAAATAGCGTCTCCTCGAACGCAGCCATAGTGTATCTGTATGTGTATGTGTAGCGAATATTATTTTCGTTATATTACGTTAAGACACGAATCTCACTATAAGGCAGTGTTAGACATTAAATGGTTAAAATTTTCTTTGACTAAAATAACTGGTTGATCAATAATGAAAATAAATTAATCATCACACATAAGATCCCAAATAATTTCATTGATTGATGAAATGTATTATTAATCAAACTTATACACTAATTAATAAATAATTTCACAAATTGATTGAATTATTCATGATTGCGTACATGATGATTGATTGATTTCAACTATTGATTCGTCGATTTTAGTCTAAGAAAATCGATTCATACGCAACGCTGCTTATATGAATCGTATCAGAACGTGCGAAGACATAATAAAAGAAAATGTTTATACACGCTGAGTCAACAGGATATCGCAAAAATTGACGTTACAATATCCCATTCTATTATCTACTTGGAGGGACAAGCTTCCTTTCTAATACGTCGCGTGGAATATCTCGAGGAATGACCTTTATTTTGCGGTTATTGGTCGACCGTTAGCCGATAAAATAAATAGATAATGCGCGCCACAATGGATCGTTTCGTGCGGAAAAGAAAGAAAAGGGAGTAGAAATCACTGTCGCATTCCAACGAGCGACTTATGCCGATCGAGACGCCAGGCGAAAGCTGCAACAAGCTTCCATCGTGGCGGCATTCAAAGTACCGGTACACAAGAGCTGCGCCACAGCTACGGCAGGTATTTACTACTAGGCAATGTGGATATATGCGTTGTTACAACGCTCGTGTATACTTTTGTTGCACATAGACTGTTTTTCCGGAAAGCCGCGGAATGCACGAGATCTTTGGCTTGCGCGAGATTCCACGGCAGAGCAGAAAACGTCCCGACGCGAGTCCGCGATCTCACGACTGTGTGTGCACCGGCAATAACAACGATTGCAAGATAAGGATGACGGTGTCGAGTTCGGTATGTCGAGTTCGGTATAATTTATGACTCGCGATCGATTCGGCGACCAGATAGCGGCTGTACTTCGCTGAAGCGCGTGGAGTACTTCCACACGGAAGTTACAGATTAATTTTACACAGGAGGATTTACTGCAATCGAACGTAGGTAGGTAACGTCGAACGTATGTCAAACGATATCGACGCAATCGAAATTTCACGAGGTGCATCCCGATGCCGATATATCCTCTTAGAGAGAGCGACAACGAGTTACACAACGGAAAACAGTACGGAGGATCGAGGATGTATCGAGCTGAGAACGCAGGCCGGATGGTACTCCTCACAATCCTCCAATATTTTACCCACACGCGAACGAAAGCCTCTCGTCCACGCGAGCCCGGACGGCTTCCTTCTTACTCGACACTTTCGCATAAGTAGGCGATTCAAGTGCCGAGTCCCTGTGCGGAGACGCGAAACGCGAAACGGAGCGCAAAAAGAACAATCTGCGCGGAGCGCTGGACGAGAAGGGCACATAAGGAAGCCGAGTTTACGAGATGATTGTCCTACAGGCCCTATTCATTCGACACGGAATCTCCGGGCGGATCTCTATTGTAGATTATTGCGCCATTGTCCATTGTCGCAATCCGCCAACAACTGGCTTCCTCAGATCTCCTTCTTTCGCGCGAGCGGAAAAATTACCGTGGAAACGAAGCTGCCGGCTCGAGTGTTTTATTATTTTATTTTTTATTACAAGATATAACAAGGTGCTTCAACAAAAGCTGTTAACACTCATATGGAAAATTTGCTTCGAAAGAATGGAAATAAGAACTTATATGGAAAAAAATTAATTTACTGCTAACTTGCAGCACACTTACGATAATTGACAAGTAAACCTATCCAAAAGGTACACTCCGATTTCTTTCTAATTTGGCATGAATGTAGTGGTACAAAAAATATTTAGATCATGTTTTTTCACATTGAACTTCACGGGCAGTTTATAGTTTTTTAATGTTCTCACTCTTATTATCAACAAGTGTAACAAAAATACATAAGAAATAAAATTGAATACAAGATATAGTTAAATAATTTTAACAAAATCGGCAGCTGAGACACGAATCATTCTAAATTTCTTTAGCTGAGATTCCAACCGAAATATTTCAAATCTGTACTAAATTAGTCAAAAATGGTTCAAATCTCGGCCAAACTGAAAAATTATTTGATAAATAATTTTTATTCATAACTTTTTACATGTTTTATTTAAACATTTTATTACTTATACAAATGATTTTACCTCATATTCATAATCAGCAAACCAAAAACGCTTATATCTTATATTCAATTTTATTTCTTCTGCATTTTTGTTGCACTTGTTGATGATAGCAGTGAGAACATTAAAAAGCTATAAACTGCCTGCGAAACTTAAAGTGGGCCAAAATGAAAAAATATGACCTAAATATTTTTGGTACTTCTACATTTGTGCTAAATTAGAAAGAAATCGGAGTATAATTTTTGGATACGTTTATTTGTGAGTTACTTATACAGAGAATGTACTTCAGAAAAATGTTAACACTTTTGTGGACAAAAAGTTACTTCCATATAAGTATTAACTTCCTTTTGAAGCACCCTATATAATATCTTGTGTTGTTTAACGCAATTAGCAGATATTTATGTCTCCCAGTAGATATTTTAAACGTTAGATACTTCATCTAATATCTAGATTTTTATTTTTAAACATATTTATATTTTTTATATACATCTTTTAGTGAGTTATTGTTTCTTTCAAATTTCAGAATTATTCGCAACTATTTGCTTATAGTATAATCCCTTAATTCTTTTTGAAACAATATAAATTACGTGATAAAAAAATAAGATATGTTTAAGAAATATAATAAAAATATATTTTAAATATCACACAAATATTTCCTCTAAGTCCATTTTTTAAATTTCTAAACTTATTTATTTTACCTCTTTTTTCATATGTGCATCTTTTAGTTAGTTATTATTTTTTTCAAATTTCAAATTATTCCCAACCATTAGTGTAATAATTCCCTTTTGAACAATATAAATTACATAATCTAAAAAAAATAATATAATATTCCCTTATGAAATCTATATTCCCTAAATCTATATTCCCTTTTGAACAATATAAATTATATAATCTAAAAAAAAATAATAAAATTTAAAAAATTATATAAATATATGTGTATATCTCAAATATCAACTTTACTTTTCTTCTAATCTCTCTCTATATTTAAAATTTTTAAACATATTTATATTTTATTTTTTACATGCACATCTCTTTCAATTAGTCCTCCTTTAAATTTCAGAATTATTAACAATTGCGTGTTTAACGCAATCTCATAAATTTTCTGAATAATGTAAATTACATAACAGAACAATACAAGATTATACTAAACAAGATTATACTAAAAAATGAAAAGAAATATGTGTATGTAGACGGGTAAGTTTGATAGACTCGCAATGCACCAAGTGTCAAGACTCGTTCGCCGCGTGGTCAGATAAGACGTTAGGCGTCGCGTCTTAATTTCGATCGGTGAAAAACAAAGTTGCGGAACGAAACTCACGGCAATTAGCGGACGATTAACGGTAACACGTGCTGGCCATGTTGGGTGTTTCATACGCGGAAAGCGAGTTCCGCACGCGACGCCACGTAAGGAGGTTACGTGTGTCGCTCGCGCGCACATCGACGGAAATCGAACGACGCGGGATAGCACCTGCGGGTGGATAAACAGGCAATTACGTACGAATAAGTCGGACGAAAAAACATCCGCGATGGCGGTCGCGCACTCCCCGATCTTATCGACACGCGGTGTCGCGCGTCAGCGATGGTCATAAAGAAATATAACGGTGCAATTATCAATAATTGGGAAATTTTTTCGAGTGTAACTCAACGTAGCGAGCCGGCGCACTCATTAATTTGATATTACAAGCGTTGTCCGCTAAAGTCCCCGTTATTATTATCGTCACGAGGACCATTAACCTTCTTTTGCGACGCGCAAGTTACTCCGCTTCTGCGTAGCATCGCGCATTTCGAAAGAAAAGGAGTGTAATTTCGAGACATGTGCGTTTAGATGTACGCCAAGATACCGAACTGAATGATATCACAAATATATGAATGGCTTACGCGATAAACTTCTTATATTATTCTTATTTTTATTATTCTTGTAAAGAGGATACTCTCTTCTTTTAAGTACGTGATAATGAGCTTTTCTAAAATTTGTAATTTTGAGACTGTTATCAACAAAATGTTCTTTATTAAAAATAACTATCACTCAAAAGAAGGAAAGTTAGCTGGGCGATTGCTTTTCTTAGGAGCAGAATGATATTTTTTCTGTGTGTAGAATGATGTTGTCGATTTGCGAATCAGAGGATTCAAAAGAAACATAAGAAACATGTTCATATCCATCTTGCGTGGATCCACGCTCGTGTGGACATTGCGCGCATGTAACGTATACATATCCTTTGTAGAGATTACACGCCTACCTTATCAAGCCGTTGTCCTTGTGCTTGCCGATGAGGAACGTCTGCACACCATCCTGCATCTGATTAGCCCACGGTGGTTTCACCCAGATGAGGTACTTGAAGTGACCCGCATACACTGCAGGCAAGATCCAATTCTCGATACTGAGCTCGCTGAAAAAAAAGGAGACACGATAAAAATGTGACCCAATAATTGCTTTCGCGTTCGAAGAACTTGTTTGGCCGATTAAAACGGCCTGCATCCTCACCCCCCGTTTTTTCCTTTCTTTCTTGATACTACCACGTTTATATGTAATATTCGCGCGGATGTATAATATCCGTTTCGCGCGGAAATTAATAAACGACGATCGGACGAAAATTGTTTTTTGCAAAACGGTGTTGATTGCACAGAACAAATTGCGGTTCTCGCGCGTCAGCGTTTCTGCTCAATTACGACTTGCACCGTATTTAATTTTCAAGCGTGAGAAATAAGTAGTATTTTAATATGTTCTTTTTTAATTAGTATACGAAGTAGTATACAAGGATATACTGCTCAACGGGAGGAAAGGTGGAGCGGATCAACGTGTGCGGCGCATCGAAGCACAACATTATGTGCCGATATGCATAATGGATAAATTGTACAGTATCGTGCAATTTTTTTTTTATACGAGCGAGCCCGGCGATTCGATAATTTCCTTATGATTGATTCGAGCAGTTCTCAGCGCACCATTGCCGTTCACTAGAAACTCACTCGGCATGCGGAATGCGTGGCGGCACATAGCGAAACGCGGCAATTTTTCTGAGAGGGCTCGCAGCTCGCAGAATGCACTCGTTTGCACTTCGAAGCGAATGCGATACAGATACCAGAAGCAGGTTCTCTATCTCGCGAACGATCGCAGCGAGAACAACGCGACTTGCATTCACGATAAAACCGAATAAATCGAATGAACGAAAGTATTTCTCTTAGCGGCTGGGTTTCTTTATCGCCGGGCTTTCGTGTCGCAGAATGACGATGCTGATGATCTTTCTGATATCAAAGCGTCACTTTGGTGACGCTCGTTCCGACGTTATATATTACATGTCATACCATTAAATTCGTCGAATCAATCGTTATCTTACGGCCCAATGTGCCATCAGACATTCCATTCAGAAAATGCGCGGATTGCAATTCATGCCATTCTGACGAATAGTCAGAATAGTTCTAATAGTCGTGAATAAACATAAAGATTATATTCGCGTGACATAGGTATCGGAATTTCAGCTTTCTTGACTTATTCCATCATCTTGGAAAAAATTACTTTTCATCATTGCATGCCGGGAGACAGTAGCGTCTCTTTCTATTTCTCCTGTATCGAAAGACAGATGAAGAGAGATAGGCAGAAAGAGAAAAAGAGAGAAAGGGAGAGAGAGAGAGAGAGATGGAGAGAGAGAGAGAGACAGGGGGGAAGAAAGAGTGGTATGTATTATTGACAAGAATATTTTTCAGCCGTTTGATTATTTATTGCTATACTTTTGCACAAAACACGATGATATGAAAAATGCCTTTAACATCTCACCGTATTTTTCACAGCATTATATATCATCTGTCATAATATTACTACACTTATCGAATCAATCGTCATCTTACAACCGATTGTGCCATGCAATCGATACATAATTACTCTAAAAAGCACGAATCACGATCAATGCTATCTCGATAAGCTTATGAAAAGGCGCGAAAAAACGTAAAGATCATATTCGCGTGACTATGGTATCGGAATTTCAGCTTCCTTGACTTATTTCACCATCTTAGAAAAAATTACTTTTCGCCGTTGCATGCCGGAAGACAGTAGCGTCTCTTTCTATTTCTTCTGTATCAAAAGGAAGATGAAAAGAGATAGAAAGAAAGAGAGAGAGAAAGAGGGAGAAAGAGAGAGAATGATATGTGTTATTGACAAAAATATTTTTCAACCGCTTGATTTTTTATTGCTATACTTTTGCTCAAAACACGAATCAATCGTCGTCCTACAGTCGATTGTGCCATGCAATCGACATATAATAACTCTAAGAAGCACGGATTACGACCGATGCTATCCCGGTAAGCTTGTGAAAAGGCGCGAAAAACTTAAGGATCATATTCGCATGACTATTGTATCGGAATCTCAACCTTCTTGACTTATTCCGCCATTTTTTATACAAAAACTGTCAGTCGGTTATTTGAGCATTATACGTTTATATATGAGATACATGTCATACCATTAAATCAATCGTTATTTTACGGATATGCCATCAGACAGACATTCCATTCAGAAAAAACGCGGATTGCAACTCATGCCATTCCGCGACGAGTGTTCTAACAGTCGCGAGTAAACATAAGGATCATATTCGCATGACTTTGGTATCGGAATCTCAGCTTTCTTGACTTATTCCGCCATTTTTTTATGTAGGAACTGTCAGTTATCGGAGCATTACACGTTTATATGTGAGATTGGTCCGGCTACCCAACCCTCCTACTTATTTCCGACATAATCACGTCGCATTCGATAATATCACAATTAGGAGGAACAGGTGGTATATGATATTTACGGGTACAAGTGTTCTATACGTACCTGAATAATCGGAGCTTATCCCAAACGATGTCGGCCTGCATCGCTGGCGGTATCACCATATCGGGATGCGAATCCAGATGTATGAACGTGTTGTCTTGGAAGGGCAGGTGTTTCGAGCCCAGACACCGATATATGAAGGGTAAAACCTGATAATATCGCAAATACGGGCGTGTGAATATCCGTGCAAAAAAGCCGGCTAATCGCTGTCGTGTGGCGCACGGAACTATTGACTAGCTGCGCCTGAATCTGCGCAATGGATCGATTTGAATTTTGGAGTTCGATCAATCGGCGACCTCTAGGAATATACTATAGATATAGGAAATAAGCGAAAACCAATAAAAAATCATAATACTAGCACCCTCGCCGCGACGTGATTGGACTACCGAGATTACTAGATACATTCTCGCGCAAAATTTGAAAGTGACATCAAAACTCGAAAAATTCGAAACTGGTTCAGAAGCGCATTTATTGTCCGACTCGGTAATGCATCATCGGCGCTTCTTGAATATTTGATCGCGAGTAGATTACGACATCTTTCTTTGAGATGACTTCTGAAATGAGTGAGAATCATAAAGACGATCTCGCGATTCTCGTTGTTTTGAGACACTCGTTGAAATACAAATTGTATATATCGAAGAAGGCGTATTATGATTTTCAACTGAGAGATATACATTCTAATATATTTAGCCGTGTAATTCTAACTTCTGTGTATATTTGTCTACAACCGAATATTAATTCAGCTTGGAAAATCGGAATAATATGTATAACGCTAAATACACGGCCAAGTGTGAAGCAGGATTGTAGCGTAGATTTCAAAACTGCGTCTACGTGAATTGTTTACATATTATCTACATAACGCATATATGCTTTTTTCATGCAGACGATGTAAACTATGTAAGATATTGTAAGTTTCATATTAAAATATAAAAAAAGAATACGAAACATTGACCGCTTTGGTATTATTAATTATAAATATAATGTTTAAAAAAGTTAAATATGAAATTGTTATTATGAAATTGTTATTATATTGTGTGACAGATATGGTAGATCTAACTCTAAAGGTGAAAGTATCATCAGAAAATTCTGTGATCTCTGGCTTATCCAGGAAACAACATTTATAAATTTATATCAGGATTCTAAATTTTAAGTAAAAATATAAACTTTTATTTTAATAAATTTTTTAGCAAGCTATACGTTCTTTAAACGACATCCATAAATTAATTATTGCCTACATGATATCTAGATGTCACCTCATGCATTACGTTGTTCATATAGATGTGAAGTATCATAATTCACGCGTAATCCAACTCCAGTGTGGACATATGGGCATAATATGGGCATATGTAAATTAACTTTACACCGCTGCGGCGCTTCGAGAACGTACGCAGCGCCAGCAGCGCGACGGCGCGGGTTACTTTGAACGGTTTATAACTCGCAACAGAATTTGGAACAAAATTTTACTTACTTCTATTTCTTTGCATAACATGGTAAAAGCTTGAAAATTCATAAGTACACATACATATAAGAAATGTATGTATATATTTATTAATATAATTTTAATTACTCCAATATATTTATTAATATAATTTTAATTACTCCAATGCTGCCTTACTAATAGAATTTTATTTAAACACCGTCACGAATTACAAATCCCCTAAAGCGGGCTTTTTTCATTCTTTCAGAGTGAAGATTTAAAATATCTTAAAATATCTTTATATATCCCCCGAGAAAAGCACATGCTACTTTTCGCTTTGTCCGAATACATCGTAAAGTGAGAAAGAAGTATCCCGCACTCCACTCGTCCTCCAACCGTTCTCCTACTACCTGCTATTATCTGGCGCAAGCGTACAACTGGCCTTGGTCGCACGAGGATGGATAGATATTTAAAGGCCTGGGATAGACGTCTATCCTCGTCGCACGCCTCTCCGACACAATAACGACGCGCAGACCAACTACGTTCTTTCCAGTGTATACGTCCGAGCGCGAGAACGCTCACCTCATCGTGGCCCTCCACCACGTAGATCGGCGTCTTCTTGAAGTACTTGAGTGCGAGCGACATACTCCGCTGATCACGCGGGACTATCGACCACGGGGACGAGTACGCGATCGCTGTACAGACGGGACACGCGTTTAAAAACGATCAATACTCTAATTAACACGCAGCGACGATAACGACGACCACGATGACGACGATGACGACGACGACGCGGAAACTCGAATCGAATCACGGACACGTGGCACACTGCTTCGCGCGAAAGCACGTGATCGCAGACTGAAGTTTTGCTCTTAGGCGCGCACCTCAAACGATCATTTCGCGAATAAAAGACAGGGGCATCACAGGAGGGTCAACCCCGAATTCTCACGAGACGAGTTCCGTAAGGTGGTTCTCGTCTCTTTCCCCCCCTCGTTTTTTTCTTCTTTCTCTCTCACGCTCTTTCCCCGCGCGTCATGGACGGACGGACGGACGGATGGACGGTCGAGGAGACCTTAGAAACCCGATCCTTCTAACTCGCAGCCGGCCTGTGCACGACGGGCGAAATGCTGTGTGCAGTATCACTTAGCGATTTAGCATGGACAAATTTATTTCAATGGATCGATAGGACTGTCCGCCATCCAATCGACGCAACGAATCGCGCGCGTCGCATCTTTGCACAAGCGTTACTCGCCACTAAAATTAATTACACACACTACTGATGATGAAAAGTGTTCTTTCAAATAAAATTATGATTACTGTCATAATTAACAATAGCAAAAAACAATCGTAATACTTAAGCGGAAACAAAAGCACGTGTTCGCAAATAATGACATTTCTTTTCTGATTTTTTTCTCTTTTATATTACTTTAAACACTGAAAAGTTGTCTTTCAAATTAAATTGTGATTATTATCATAATTAATAGTAATAATCTCATTATTCAGGCGGAAATAAAAGGCAGAACAAAAAGTCACGATATTGAAATGATGTCAAAATGACCAAAAAATGACTAAAAAAACTCATTTTTCAATCACGGTTCGATCACTTTCTCGTTATTTTAACGTCATCATACGTTCCTGTTAGGAAAGCATGTGTTTGCAAATAATGATATTCCTCCTCTCATTTCTTTCTCTTTAATATTGCTTTAAACTGCCAACAATAAAACGTTGTCTTTCAAATAAAATTGATTATTTTATCATAATTAATAATAATAATAGTCTCAATACTTATAAACAAAAGCGAAAACATGCGTTTGCAAAAAGTTATTTCTCATTTCTTTCTCTTTTATATTACTTTTTTATATTAATTTTATTAAAACTTAGTATTTCACTGTTCATTCAGTAACATGTGCATCTCGAATATAAGAAAAAATACTACAGAAAAATACTACATATATACTACAGAAATTTGTGCAAGATAACTATAATCATCCATTTTTCTCTTCACAATTGCTTCACATTCCAAATTCGCATTTCAAAAACACGTCGCGTCGTCATATTTACATATATTACGGTATTACAAATCGCTATATCTCAATTCTTATAAGAAAATAAAGCGCATATGTACAGTGAAATCACTATTAGTATACAACGGATGGTAATCGACGTTAGTACTATACCCGACAATATTCGATCAATACAGGACTCACTCGTAGAAGATCGATCGAATTGCGTAACCGCAGGTAGCATCGAATCGGTAAGGAAAGGTTACCCGCGGCACACACTTCGCAGTCTTAGCGGTGCGTATTAAGTACCGCAGGTGCGTGACCTTTCGCTATCGATCGATTCACATGTCATTCCTCGGCGCCGTCGCTTGATCATAAACACATCGTGAGAACTCACGGACCCACGGACCCGCGGACGAAAATGCGCCCGCGGTGCTACCGCGTTGCCGATCTCTCTTGCGATCTCTCACGATGTCGTCTTACCACTAGCTGTTAAACCCGGGATCGCTCGTGCCGTTCAGCTAAATCTAACGATCTTTTCCTCTCTAATAGAGATATTCGCCCCTATCGAGAGATAGTACGCTTTATATAATCATCCGTTCGAGCGTAAGGAGATGTAATTGTTGATCATTCACCGTTCTTCATTCCCGCTACGAATATCTGTCTCACTCTATTAAAAGTCGATATTCCTAACGCTACTAATTTTTTGCCGCTTGCTTCTTCAAACACTTCTTCCGATCTCTTCGATCTTAATCGATCGTATAAATCATGAAAGATCCATCCATAACCATTACTTGTTTAATATTCAATTTGCTAGAGATGGTCTCCCGTTTTGATCGATTCTTTTGTCAAGAGAGTAAAGAAGCGATCGACTCAAGGAACCTAGTCGACATCACATCGACGAAAAATAGCCTCAGTCCTTAATAAGAGTAGTCGATACAGAGATCTTGCGTTTCCTGAAATATGTCGATTGTTATTAGAGATATGCAAATTTGTAACAAGAAACATGCCTCCATTTTTATAGTTATAATACACTCGTCGTTAATGCTTTCCAGTACACAATCCTGAATTTAGATATTTTCCCATTGGATATATCATATTGAAATATTTTTCTCGTAGTCAATGGCCAAAGAGCGCAAGATATAATCCTTCTTTTTATATATATTAATCCTTATATATATTATATATAAAGAAATATAAATATTATATTAAATGAAAAATATCATATAATATATATTTATATTATAGTTTTATATATATTACGTATAAAAATATGATATACGAGCATCTAGACTCGATGCATTAAAATCGAAACGGAAACATTAAAGTAGGACGCTGCGAGTAGCTCGATTTAAGCTAAAACAAAAATTGACATAAACAAAAAAGAAATTGTTCAGAAAAAATATCTAGAGCGTACAAACAATCCCAAGTTAATTATTAGTGCGATTCCACTTGATCACTATTCGTATAAGGTCCAGTTCTCGAACATCTGTGACTGGTAGATCTGCAGATGCAGTTGATTGGTTTGCATTCTCAATGACAACAGAAATTTGTCGATGTCCGCGTGGTGCAAGGAAACGTTGCCATAAGTCAAATTATCACCGTACGGTTCGCGAGCCTTGTATTCCTCATGACAACCAGGGATCTTATGAGCGGAATACTGCGACGTGTAATTAGGCTGTGACACTTTGTCTTGCACATGCGGAAAGTAAGAGTACTTCGTCGCATACTCGGAGAACGGATCGAGATGGTTATTTTGCTTCAAGATGTTCCCCTCTTCTTCTTCTTCTGCATCCACATATTTATATTCTGAAAATTCGTAGCCAGTGTTGAGGTCGATTGCGTTGAAACCATATGGATAATCGCGATTGTGTATACGCGAGTTCAAAGTAGCACTCGAGACTTGCGGGTGAAACGATCGCGCGGTCGAATCCAGTAAACGTCTTGGCGCAGCTACCTTCATGTTTGTAGCTTCTCGTGAAGTCGAAGTCATCGGGTGAGATCTTACGTTATTCTCCCGAATATCTTTATGATACTTCATATATTTACCAGATTCGCCATAAAATTTGTCCATGTTATTGTAAAGAACGTTATTCGTTTGTACAGGTGCGTATTTGATTTGCGTGTTCCTCTTGACGTCATTTTGACTGCTTTTCTGCCTGCTATTGTTCATCAACTCTGCTCTCCATTGGCGATTCGATTCAACCATGTCGACGCTTGAATCCTTATCATATGTCGGTGTTAACGATAACACGCTGGAAGTACTGCAAGCTTCAATGTCTTTTTCGTATTCTCGCATCTTCGTTGAAAACAATAATCTCTTACTGTCGTTAAAATCTCCTTTATGAAGATTATTGGGAATTATATCGGTAGAAATATCACACTTCGTATCTTCTGTCTCATGCTTGTCTTGATCGCCGTCTATAACTTCGTCAAAACGAGTCTCCTGTGCTACGTATGTCTCCAAACAGTTTGCATCTTCCATCTTTATCCTCGATGCATCTATCTCGACAGTCGTTTCGCGTTGCACCGTGCGATCCTCTGAATTTTCAGACTGTTGTACGTCATCTGTGTTTAAATTGGTCAGCTTTATGTCCCTTTTCACAGCTTCTTCCTTAAGAAACTCCTTCATATCCGAGAAAGATAAATTCCGATCTTTTATCTTCTGCATCAAATCGCATTTCTCCGTTTCGCTTAGAAACGCTATGTAGTCAATTATTTCCAATAATTTCTCACTGGGATTTTGATGTTCCTTAAGATATCGCAATGCTTTGCGATACTCTTCAATTTCAGACTCTGACATCATCAAATTTGGCATATGTTCATCGGCGTTTGTGGGATAAGGAAAATGTGCGTTAAATTTGCCATCCGAACTATTAAAACAGCTCTTGAATTCTTCTATTTCCTTGTACATATCCAACAAATTGTTATTTGAATTAAGTCCCGAGTACACGTACGTATCATTCACTTCTTCTTCGGTACGAAGTTCCGGGAAAATGCACAAGAATGCCCGTCTCTGCATACTGAAAAAATGTTTGAGCACAGAAAAGTGCTCCTCGTATACTAGTTTATGTATGGAATCGGTCATGTTTTTATACGTATCATTTAATAATTCGATTTCAAAGTCAAGCTTCTCTTTCCATCTAATAGCTGCTTTCAACGGAATCTCATCGTCGGTTCCGTTGAATTCTTCGGTACACTTCGACAGGTACTCGCTTAGTTCATTCCATTTTCGAGATTCAGTATCCAATTTTTCCGTGTTCGATTCTGTAACATGCGCTACATTGGAATCCTTCGTATCCTGAGGCGCTGTAGAAGTAATCTTATTATCAATTATGATATCAGTTGACGTGTCAATTTCCTCTCTCTCGTCAGCTGATGGGATTTTTATACATCCGCAAATTTGCTCAATCTCATCACTAGTTAGTTCGCGATCCTGTTCCTGAATATTTCCAAGATCCACTTCGAGAACAACATTCTCATTTAATTTCTCTAAAAAAGAAGGTTCGTCCGGGTGAAGTTTTACCGTAAATCTGTAGATTCCTTCTGAACTGGATGAATCTGACTGAGTAGACACTGCAGTTGATGCTTCTTCTTGTTTCTCAGATTCCTCAGGTTGCTGGAGATCGTCTTTTCTCATATTATATTCATTACAAGACGCCTTTATTTTATCATCTAAATAGGATTTTTTTCGTTTTGTGCGCATCTCATTGGTCATAGTTTTACCGCCTTTTTTACCTCCTGGTGAGATATCTTTACACTTATTTTGTTTCGTTGCAGTACTATTCGCATCATTATTTTCCAATGGAAGTGTATTGTCAGTTGAGGGTAGCGTGCTGGCTGATGTGAGCATCGCCATAGGTGCGCCGTTTTCGGATTCTAGAATTTTTTTGTCAATATCCGAAAGTTCGGTGCCACTTGTCTCGGATCTAGAGTAGATTTTCTCGAATACTGTAGTGTTGTCGGCCCAAACATCTTCCGTATAATCGGGACCGAGTTTAAATAGATAAAAGTTCGGTCCGCTAACCAAAATTAATAACTCTTTAAATGACGGAAGCTCGTTTTCGGAAACTATTGTAATAGAAATTCCACGGGATCCATAGCGTCCAGCTCTGCCAATTCTGTGCAAATATGTTGCTGCATCCACAGGTATGTCCAAATGTATAACCATGTTAATATTTTCTATATCGATGCCCCTCGCGGTTAAATCCGTGGTCATTAGAATTCTACAATTAAAATTCCTCAATTTTTCCATTACTTCTAATCTCTTGGCCATATCCTGACTTCCAACGATGTATGTGGATGAGAAGCCCATAGAATTAATTTTATTGCTAACTGATTGAGCTCTGTAACAGCAAATAAGTGATTATCACGTCAACATTAAACGGATAAACAAGAATAAAATATATAATGAAGAAATAAACTACGTACCGCGATTGATAATTTGAAAAAACTAGACATTGCTTAAACGGAATTTTGACGAATATTTTTTTCAGCTCGTCCACTTTTATTTGTACCTAAAAATATAGATAAATTGTAACCCGAATTTGTCTAACATAAAAAAAAAATTCTCATTAAATCTTTATTTAAAATCTCTAAGAATAAAACTGAACCTGCTTCATGGCATTAAGATGTGAAGGAACCACCACCACAAATTGTTTAACTCCAACTAAAATTGGTCCATCAAGATCTGGCGATGTTAACACAGGTGAACACATATACATCTGCAAGAACGTTTCCAAATCTCCAGGGTAAGTAGCACTTGAAGCTATAACTTGTTTGTTCAATGGTAGTGTGGAAAATATGTAACTATAGAAAACAATTGATATTACAAACTCAATCCTTAAGTATTAATTAATTATTTTGACATTTTCAAAATTTAATAATCTATAAACTCCTATCTATAAACTATTGATATTACAAACTCAATAATCCTTAAGTATTAATTACTTTGACATTTTCAAAATTTAATAATCTATAAACTCCATACTGACTTGATATCTTTCTGGAAGTTTGTTTCCATTAATTTGTCTGCCTCGTCAAGGACAAATAACCTAATAGTTGAAACTTTAAGCAGTTTCTTATCAATTAAGTGCTTTAATCTACCTGGAGCACCAACCGCTATATGACATTCATTCAGCCTTTTCTTATCATCTTCTATTGATAATCCTCCCACGAAATATTCAACTTTTAATCCTGAAATAACAAAGATAATTAATAGATGAAAAAAGAAAAGACTTTCTCCAAGAAATATATAATGCGATAACATTAATTACCTTTTATTTCTGAACCTATTGTCTTAAGAACATTAGATATTTGAATAGCTATCTCCCTGGTAGGTGCTATTATTAAGACTTGTGGAGATGATATTTGAATGTCTAATATTTCTAGAGCTATAATACCAAATACAATAGTTTTTCCAGTTCCTGATTTTGCACGTATTATCAGATCTGAAAAAAATCAATATTTTTAGCACATAGAGATATTGTTATCACTCAGTATATTTCAAGAATATATATGTTGTCTTGTTACCAAATCCACAGCGACCTATAGGAATGGCTTTCAACTGTATAGGGGATGGTCGTAGAAACCCAGCAAATGATAATCCATCCATAATTTTCTCTGGAAGTCCCATTTCCAGAAATGTAACATTTTCTCGTATCCTTATATCACTTGTTCTTAACTTCTTGTTTATGTCATGTGCAGTATATCGAAGCATTTTTCTATACAAACATAAGAATATACAGATGTTATTAAAGAGATACTTAAAGAATAAAATAAAACAATGAAAAATTAGACTAACAAATAATTGAAAGCAAATGGACTTCTTTCCACAACCGTTATGCCTTTCTTTGAATTACTCTTAATAGATATGATAATATTTATATATATATATATATATATATCTCTCTCTCTTCATTGATCGTAAACTTCAATATTATTAAACACTAGACGTATAACGTATCTATTTAAAAAGTAAAAATTTCTTCGTAAAGTACGCCATACAATATACATATATATATTGAAATAAATATCAATAAATACATATTTATAACATATCAAATAGAGTATATATTCATACCTATCTAGTTAGAAAGAAAATTAAATAAAAATTAATAGGAAACACAATATAACTGCAAACGCGAACCGTTCTATTTTTCAAACATTTAACCTAACTTAACCTATTTCATCCGACACTGTTCGGTTAAACTTCAAGCTTCGATAGATAGCTAAGTGCACTTTTACTTTAGGTCTGTTCTTTTGCTCTATACCAGTGCAGCAGTGCAGAGTGAAAGAACAGACCATTTAGGGTGCTTTCCAGTGGGAGCGGTGCACTTGGACACGGTGCATTTGGACACAGCCAATCATAGCACCGTGTGATTAGAGACATTTGTAGAGTCCCTTGGAACAGCGACTTGTGATTGGACTGTGTCCAATTGCCCCGTGTCCAACTGATATACACCCCTTTCCAATTACGTTTTGTGTGTTACACAAAACCAGTTTATTAGTTATATGTTATCTTACAAGATATTTTAGATAATATGTGACCAATAAACTGATTTTGTGTACGTATGTGTCAAGATGTGTTAAGCAATTGGAAAGCACCCTTAGTGACCTACGTCATTGTTCTTTATCACTGTTCGGTTATTAGTCTGTTCTTTTCAGCTAACTGCTGCACTAGTGCAATAAGTTAGAGTGAGAAAACATATACTAGTCTCACTTTAACTTATTGCACCAGTTCAGCAGCGCAGCTGAAAAGAACAGACCACATCCTTCATTCGCAACATATGGTCTGTTCTTTTCAGCTGCACTGCTGAACTGGTGCAATAAGTTAGAGTGAGAAAACATATACTAGTCTCACTTTAACTTATTGCACCAGTTCAGCAGCGCAGCTGAAAAGAACAGACCACATCCTTCATTCGCAACATATGGTCTGTTCTTTTCAGCTGCACTGCTGAACTGGTGCAATAAGTTAGAGTGAGAAAACATATACTAGTCTCACTTTAACTTATTGCACCAGTTCAGCAGCGCAGCTGAAAAGAACAGACCACATCCTTCATTCGCAACATATGGTCTGTTCTTTTCAGCTGCACTGCTGAACTGGTGCAATAAGTTAGAGTGAGAAAACATATACTAGTCTCACTTTAACTTATTGCACCAGTTCAGCAGCGCAGCTGAAAAGAACAGACCACATCCTTCATTCGCAACATATGGTCTGTTCTTTTCAGCTGCACTGCTGAACTGGTGCAATAAGTTAGAGTGAGAAAACATATACTAGTCTCACTTTAACTTATTGCACCAGTTCAGCAGCGCAGCTGAAAAGAACAGACCACATCCTTCATTCGCAACATATGGTCTGTTCTTTTCAGCTGCACTGCTGAACTGGTGCAATAAGTTAGAGTGAGAAAACATATACTAGTCTCACTTTAACTTATTGCACCAGTTCAGCAGCGCAGCTGAAAAGAACAGACCACATCCTTCATTCGCAACATATGGTCTGTTCTTTTCAGCTGCACTGCTGAACTGGTGCAATAAGTTAGAGTGAGAAAACATATACTAGTCTCACTTTAACTTATTGCACCAGTTCAGCAGCGCAGCTGAAAAGAACAGACCACATCCTTCATTCGCAACATATGGTCTGTTCTTTTCAGCTGCACTGCTGAACTGGTGCAATAAGTTAGAGTGAGAAAACATATACTTATCTCACTTAGACCACATGTTTGTCTACTCCTTCTTTAAGTTGTACTACTTGAAATTAAATTTAACGGAGGGTGCGTTCGGGAAGCACGCTACCCCGTTCTTCTATCTATATTGTTCCTTATAGCATATTTGACTGGCTCTGGGTTAACTCACTCTGGGTTATTTAGCCTACGTTTATTTGTCGGACAAGTACTTATAGCTTTATGATTGGCTAGTAGAGACTTATGACGTCATTAATCGCTCTCGGAGTGATTAATCCAGGGCCAGTCGAACACGCTATTAGATATACAACAAGAATAGAATGACACGGTAGCGTTAAATAGCACTAATAGCGAACTCCCCGAACGCACCCGGAGACTTTGGAACTATTTCAACCAATCAGAAATAACGGGTCTAATAGACTTCGATATAAGTTTATTCATCTATAATATATGTCATAATATATATGAAAACTATAAATATATAAGCACACATATACTTAATGAAATGCAGCGATAGTGTATCCGATTCTTACTAGAATCGATTATTTCGCTTGATATATCGGGCTAACCTAACCTAACTTAACTTACCGATAAACTTCAACTTCAATACCTGGCTCCAGGCCTCTCTAATGGCTCCTGCACACAGGACGCGGTAATGCTTGCCGCACGGCGAAATTTCGCACGACAGCCAATCAATATGTTGTTTTTCCGTAAGAGCTAAAAGGTTATTACGGAAAACAACATATTTGATTGGCTGTCGCGCGAATTTTTGCCGCGCGGCAAGCATTACCGCGTCCTGTGCAAGAGCCATTACGCTCTAACGCCATTTTTCCCATTAATGATCTATATCGAGAGTAAAGTTTTGGAAAATTCCAAGACACGTTCCAAAAAATCACACGGTCCAAACGTGTTCGAACGGGAGCGGTGCACTTGGACACGGTGCATTTGGACACAGCCAATCACAGCACCGTGTGATTAGAGACATTTGTAGGGTCCCTTGGAACAGCGACTTGTGATTGGACTGTGTCCAATTGCCCCGTGTCCAACTGATATACACCCTGTTGGAACACGTCTTGTCGTGACGGTGGTTAGGCCAGGACTACCTACCGATAAACGGTGCACTCCAATTGAGTTACTAGAATCATAATCAATTATTTCTTATCGATGTTCCATCTCTAGTCAGAGGTGACACGAGTACTTAAAAAAAAGTCTCAAGAATTGTAGACACTACTTTACCGTAGGTTGTTGTCCAAAGATTGCCTCTTATCTTGGATAACGTCATATCTCATTATGAGAGACAAACAATATGTATATTGCAATATTAGCAGTTGTTAGTAGAGATTTGTATCGATGCGACGTAGTATCGTTCAATCTGTAGACTGATGACTTGTTCGCACAGTAGTGAATCAGTACCGACAAGCTAATTTCGGTGATTTATTATGGAATACTGGACAATATTATTATCTATTGTTACGGGAACGCTGGGTATCCTTTATCTATTCCAAAAGTTTAATTATTTCAAGAGACATAATGTTACTTACATGCCGCTTACTCACTGTATATATGGTGTTCTGGCATCGATTTTATTTCGTCAAATGTCTTTTACTCATTTACTACAAAAGCTGTACAATTTCAACCCGGAAGCCAAATACATTGGATTCTACAATATCACCGAACCAGCCATCTTACTTCGTGACCCGGAGCTCATGAAGGACATCCTTGTTAAGAATTTCGACATCTTCCCCAATCGCAGCGGTTTCACTGATATTAATGATCCCTTGTTCTCGAAGAATTTATTTTCTCTTCGAGGACAAAAATGGCGAGATGTAAGAACTTTGTTAAGCCCAGCATTTACATCCAGCAAGATGAAAACGATGTTCAGCTTGATGATGGAATGCGCAGTGGACTTCACTAAGTGTCTCTTGAAAATATCAGCAGATAACAGCAATATTAATATGAAGGACGTCTTTGCCAAGTACACGAACGATGTGATAGCCACGTGCGCTTTTGGTGTTAAAATTAATTCTATGAAGGATTCTACTAACAAGTTCTACGTTTATGGCAAAGATGCAAGCAATTTTGACGGGATAGCTGGTTACAAGATATTCTTCTCTTCAACCTTCCCATGGCTGACACGAGTTTTCAACTTGAAAATTATAAACGACGAGGTAGCAAATTTCTTCAAAGATCTTGTGAAGACCACCATCGACACCCGTGATGCCAGAAACATTACACGACCTGACATGATACAATTAATGATGGATGCCAGGGGCAAACGTGAGGCTGAAAAAAAACTCAGTATTGAAGAGATGACTGCGCAGGCATTTGTTTTCTTCTTTGGTGGCTTCGATACCAGTTCAACCGCGATGTCTTTCATTGCCCAGGAGATCGCAATCAATCCAGATGTCCAGGAAAAGTTGCGGCAAGAGATCGATAAAGTTCTGGAAAACTCAAACGGCGAAGTGACTTATGAAGTTATTAATCGTCTTGAATATTTAGACGCGGTAATAAACGAAACTCTCCGGTTATATCCACCTAATTTCTTCTTAGAAAGAGTATGCGTGCAAGATTATGAGTTGCCGCCCGCTTTACCGAATGAAAAGCCCTTTACAATGAAGAAAGGTATGAATGTTTGGTTTCCGGTTTACCCACTTCAGCGTGATGAAAAATACTACGATGATCCGGAAAATTTTCGCCCGGAGAGATTCTTGGACAACAATACATACCATAACTCTCCGTATTTCGCACCATTTGGATTGGGACCACGAATGTGCATAGCTAATAGATTCGCCATTCTTGAGATCAAGGTCTTGCTGTTTCATCTACTAGCGCGATGTGAGCTGAAACCTTGCGCAAAAGCCAAGATGCCCATAAAATTGAGCAAGTCAAATTTCGCGATGGTTCCAGAGGGTGGATTCGATTTGATTATTCAACGTAGAAACGATATGCATCCTACAATTTTGTCGACGACCTTTGATAGTAGTACTAATAATTTTTAAAAGGTGCTTTATGTGCTGATAATTGACTAAATTATGTAAATACGGTTGTAAATAATAGCAGAAAGACATTTAATGTGAGAAATTCTATACGTATACTGAACTCTGTCACGTGGGTGAATATTAAATAATAACACGTATAATTGGTATTTACTGAGTATGTATCTGACGTAATTGACATGGTATATGATTGACAGTATATAATTCGGTTATAGTTTTCATGACATTAAAAAAAACCGATTTTTCTCAATTTTTCGTGGATATTTTCGGTTTTTCCTCAATGGCAGAAAAATACATTTCGGAAAATTCATGTGTGTTAAAATTTATCACATTTATTTCCTCCCATAAAGAAGGTAATTACGTGCATTTAACTTAAATTAATTAAATCTAATAAGCAATCTATTAGCAATCTCACGATAGATTGAACATGATTTGTCAACAAATCCATAGTCATTTGTATTCGTAATCTGCTGTTATTTTGTTGACAAAATTTGCAAATAGAATCTGATAGCAAATTGTATATATATCCTTCATTGCTTTAGGTTATTACCTTGTAATTTTATATCGATTATATAATTATTAGTGCGCCGTTACAGAAGGTATTTTACACCATGAAATTAAGTAGCAAAAACAGCAATTTTTCTTAAACAAAAAAGCTTGCACAGTGCAGTTAGTTGAACGAAATTTCTTACCCCTACTTTATTGTTGCCCAGTATAAACGAACGGAATACACAGATAACTCATCGACAGGAATGAGAATGCATTTCCTGCAGCACCTGCTTAATAAACCAGATATTTTCAGCTTCCTCAAGTTCCGATACTTTAAAGATGCCAATGTCTGTAGAATCGATAGGAAATGTAAAGAAGTTATGTTTCTAAATCTATGTCATAAGGAAATCTGTGTACTAGGAAAAAGACAAGAAATTTTTGAGAAGACGACCACCTCGCCATTTTTTGATTGAAAACAACAATCGGCTTCTGATATAAAAAGTGTTATTCCTTGAAAGGTAAACTTGGAATAAACTTCTATTTCATGCCTTTCTCATTACGTTCATGCCTTTCTCATTACGTTCTCGACGTAATTCTATGTACTCTTCGTCAATGATATCTTTCTGCATGAGTCGACTTCCCCTTTCAAAGTCTCTGTTATAAAGTTGTTGAAGAGACATATATGTTGATCTTAAGCAACGTTTGATGATACCTAAGTAATTATCGTACTTAAATGCGTTGAAATTGCTAAGAGCCGCATGGGTGCGGCATTCTGTAGCTAAATGGCAAAGTACAATAATGGACGTAATAAGTGACAAATTCATTTCCAAATATATCCGCAGCACGACGAATAAATGTACGAAGGAGAAAGTCTGCTACTTTAATCATGCCGTCCTTTTCAAGTGCTCGAAAGAATGTACACACCATTTTGCAGAAATAAATAATTTATGTATAGATTTAGATCTAATAAACTGAAAATTTTTAATCCGTCAGGAGAGAATTCTTCTTAACTTTGATGCCTTGTATTTTCCGAAATAAGAAAATATATAATTTACAAAAACAGGTCGTATAGGTTAACTTTATTTTAATGCCATTAACATACTCACCATTGCAAAATCATTTCGGTGTTACAAAATCTCAATAACTGGCCATGTTCTATATATTAAGTCGATTTCAATTAATGACATTTTGGAAGTATTTGATATTATTATTAAACTGCCACTCTCTCTCTCTCTCTCTTTGGTGACAGGCCCAATATTATGACTTTTTCACCATAGACTGCACACAAATCTTATAGTAAGGCAACACTGATACATTAGTGATTGGGAGCTGACGTCGGACGTACGACGATCCAGTAGCCAATAGGAAAGTTTATTTTCTAGGGACAGTACATCATTAGCTAGTAACCATAAAAAGTTCAATCTTGATGCATCCACGAGATGCATTCAATCACATCTGTTGCAAATAAAAGAACGCAACCACGTTGTTCGATACGTTTTGTTCGGTTTTTACTAGCACTTCGCCCTCAAATAATTTCGGCATGCTTTGCCGACATAATGCCAGCATAATGGTAATATATATGTTGCAAATTTACTGCCATCCTATGATTGATTTTGCCGGCAATTTGTTGGCATATTACTGATATTTTGCTATCAGAGAGAATACAAATAATCATTTTCTATCGAATTTGGACTCTATTTGAATATAGATTTGAATATAGAATTCGTGAATTTATAAAGTGCGAATAGTATTCTATCGTATACAATAGAATACAATAGAATACAATAGATAGAATTCCCTTATAGAAATATCGTACTAAGAATCATTGATAATTACTTATTATCCAGTATTTTTAATACTAAAAATAAGTAATTATCAATGATTCTTAGTATGATATTTCTATAAGAGTTTTTATCGTTAGTTTCCTATAGAATACAAAATCGGATATAATCAGATAAAATACGATAGGATTCATATCTGAACTTGTGAGAGTGAACGATACAGCTTAAAGAAAACGATTCAAATTGATAGCACTGTCAATTTGATATAAAATGCATTTCATCTGCATTTTAAAACTTATGAAAATGAAAATCTGAAAATAATACATATATTTGTAACCTTATTTCACGTATATAAATTCGAAAAGGCAAATATTTTCAGGATTAAGGCTCCTGGGGAGTCGCATCATCCATCTCTTTTTAATGACGTCAGAAGCGAAAAAACGCATGCTAAAAATTCCTGCAAAATACGTCGAGATAAACAGATATATTCACAAAGCGACATTTGCGATCGATTAAGTACACCTCTAAAATATTCCGTACACTTTCCTTTTGTTCTAACAATCAACTGATAATTATAAAATAAATGTGACGTGCAATCGTCTTTTCTAACCTATTTTCCTCATTATCTTGTCATATTAATTTTCCGATTCCCTTATAGAAATATCATACTAAGAATTATTGATAATTACTTATTATCCAGTATTTTTAATACTGAAAATAAGTAATTATCAATGATTCTTAGTATGATATTTCTATAAGGGTTATATATTGATTTTTAGAATAAAAGGAAAGTGTACGGAGTATTTTAGAGATGTATTTAATCGATTGCAAATGTCGTTTTGTGAATATCTCTGTTTATCTCGACATATTTTGCAAACATTTTTAGCATGTGTTTTCTCGCTTCTGACGTCATTAAAAAGAAATGGATGGTGCGACTATCCAGGACCCTTAATAATGTATTATTTACGGAGACCCGATTATTTTATCGCTATCAGTTAACCTCTTGCTAAATTTAATCTTGTACACAAGAATTTTGTACACAAGAATCTTGTACACAAGAATAAGCACAAGAAGTCTTGACTCTCGCAATTAATCAGAAGAGAGGGGTCACGTGATAGAGTTTGCACCCTCTCTCCCTATGAAACTCTGTAGGTTTAACACTGAGCTAGCAGGATAAGAAAATAGAAAAAAGCTAAACAAAGGTAGAAATATAAAGGGCTGAATTTGTATTAATTTATACCATCCAGAAAACATCGTATATTCACCTTTTCCGAGGGAAACAGTCCTTAAATGAAATAAACACTATTGGGTTCAAGAGTAAAGTATCCCTCGTCACGAGCAAAATCAGTCGCTTCTACACTCGAAATATTACAAATGATACCGTCAAAATACGAGGTTTGAGATTTCGTACCCTTGCCGTTCTGTTTGAAAACTACTCTCGACCTCTATTGGGTTTTCAAACAGAACGGCAAGGGTACGAAATCTCAAACATCGTATTTTAACGGTATAAATTGTAATATTTCGAGTGTAGAAGCAGCGATTGATTTTGCACGTAGCGAGGGATACTTTACTCTTGAATCCAATAGTATATATTTTATTTAAGGGCTGTTTCTTTTGAAAAGGGTGAATATACTATGTTTTTTGGATGGTAGAAATTAATAAAAATTCAGTTTTTATATTTCTACTTTTGTTTTGCTTTTCCTCTATTTTTTTATGTGGTCCTGCTAGCTCAGTATTAAACCTAGCAACGCCATATTCTTTTTTTCAAAATGACATGGAGTACAACATTTTCATTGATACAAATTAATACAAAATAAATACTAAATAAATATTAAATAATCAAACAGGCGCGACTTGATTATGCCGACTTGGTCCTGCCAGTTTAAAAGAGGTTGTCCAGAGGTTAACTTTTATCTTAGATAACGTTATATTGACACTAAAGTCATTATCATTAAGACTACTGCGTAGATTAAATGTATATATAATAAGATGTATATTTCCAAAAATGGCAGTTGTCAGTAGAGACTTGTATGCGACGTAGTATCGTTCAGTTTACAAACTGATCACTTGTTGTCGTGCAGAAGTAAATCAATACCGACAAGCTAATTTTGGTGGTTTATTATGGAATACTGGACAGTATTATTATCCATTGTTACGGGAACGCTGGGCATCCTTTATCTATTCCAAAAGTTTAATTATTTCAAGAGACATAATGTTATTCACATGCCACCTACTCCAATATTTGGTGTTATGGCATCGATTTTCTTTCGTCAAATGTCTCTTACTGATTTACTACAAAAGATATACAATTTCAAACCAGACGCCAAGTACATTGGGTTCTACAGTATCACCGAACCAGCCATCTTTCTTCGTGACCCGGAGCTCATGAAAGACATCCTTGTTAAGAATTTCAGTGCTTTCCCCAATCGCTTGCGTTTTGGAGATATTCATGATCCCTTGTTCTCGAAGAATTTATTTTCTCTTCGAGGACAAAAATGGCGAGATGTAAGAACTTTGTTAAGCCAAGCATTTACGTCCAGCAAGATGAAAACGATGTTCAGTTTGATGATGGAGTGCACAGTGGACTTCACTAAGTGTCTCTTGGAAATATCAGCAGATAATAGCAACATTAATATAAAGGACGTATTTGCCAAGTACACGAACGATGTGATAACCACGTGCGCATTTGGTATTAAAATCAATTCTATGAAGGATCCCACAAACAAGTTCTACGTTTATGGCAAAGATGCAAGTAATATTGACGGGGAGATTGGTTACAAGATATTCTTCTCCTTAGTCTTCCCATGGCTGACACGAGTTTTCGGCTTTACAATTCTAAGCGACAAGATAATAAATTTCCTCAAAGATGTTGTGAAGACCATTATCGACACCCGTGATGCTGAAAACATTACACGTCCTGACATGATACAATTGATGATGGATGCCAGGGGTAAACGTGAGGCTGGAAAAGAACTCGATATTGAGGAGATGACTGCGCAGGCATTTGTTTTCTTTCTTGGTAGCTTCGAAACCATTTCAACCGCGATGTCTTTCATTGCCCAGGAGATCGCGGCGAATCCAGACGTTCAGGAAAAGTTGCGGCTAGAAATTGATACAGCTCTGGAAAATTCAAGTGATGTGACTTACGAAGTTATTAATCGTCTTGAATATTTAGACGCGGTAATAAACGAAACTCTCCGGTTATATCCATCTAATTTCGTCTTAGAAAGAGTATGCGAGAAAGATTATGAGTTACCGCCCGCTTTGCCGAATGAAAAGCCCTTTACAATAAAGAAAGGTATAAATGTTTGGTTTCCAATGTACCCACTTCAACGTGATGAGAAGTACTACGATGATCCAGACAAATTTCGCCCGGAGAGATTCTTGGACAATAATATATACCATAACTCTCCGTGTTTTGCACCATTTGGATTGGGACCACGAATGTGCATAGCTAAAAGATTCTCCATTCTTCAGATCAAGATTTTGCTGTTTCATCTACTAGCGCGATGTGAGCTGAAACCTTGCGCAAAAACCAAGATGCCCATAAAATTGAGCAAGTCAAGTTTCGCCATGGTTCCAGAGGGTGGATTCGATTTGATTATTCAACGTAGAAACGGTATGCATCCTACAATTTTGTCGACGACTTTTGATAGTACTAATAATTTTTGAAAGGTGCTTTATGTGCTGATAGTTGACTAAATTATGTAGATATGGTTGTAAATAATAGCAGAAAGACATTTAATGTGGGAAATCCTATACGTATACTGAACTCTGTTACGTGGGTGAATATTAAATAATAACACGTATAGTTAAATTTTACTGAGTATATACCTGACATAATTGTATATAATTGATAGTATATAATTGACATTCGATTATAGTTTTCATGACATTAAAAAAACCAATTTTTCTCAATTTTTCGTGGATATTTTTGGTTTTTTCTCAAGAGTAGAAAAATACATTTGGGAAAATTCATGTGTTTTGGGTTAGAATCTATCAAATTTACTTCCTCCCATAAAGAAGATAATTACGTGCATTTAACTGAAATTAATTAAATCCAATAAGCAATCTATTAGCAGTCTCACGATAGATTGAACATGATTTGTCGACAAATCCATAGTCATTTGTATTCGTAATCTGCTGTTATTTTGTTGACAAAATTTGCTAACAATCTAATAGCAAATTGTATATGTATCTTTCATTGCTTTAAGTTATTACCTTATAATTTTATATCGATTATAATAATTAGTAAGCCGTCACAAAAGATGTTTTATATCATGAAATTTAGTAGCCAAAACAGCAATTTTTGTTAAAAAAGAAAGATTTTAAAAAATACAGCTTTCCTTCAACAATTAAAAAAAAGAAGTTTTTTTAATTTAATATATTCGATATTTTCATGTAATCGAAAAATGCTGAGTAAAAGAAAAAAATAGTTGCTTCACTCAATATTATATTTTTCCCTCCATTTAATTAGTACATCGCGGATCTACTTTTAAAACTTAGATACTGAATTTTTAATTGTTACAGCGGTTACCGATATCTTATATGTGTGAATGCAATTTATAATTGCAATTCCACAACTTTTTTGATGCTGGTTTGAGTTAAGGGAGCAATATACCGTTTCTCTGGTCGAAAAAATCAATTTTTCTTTTTTTTACATTTTATTAAACTATGTATTTTTAAGAATCTATTCCTACTTATCGCATCGAAAAATTCGAAAAATTGCGTAAGTTACAGCCTATTATTCGAAGCGATGCGCAGGTTAAAACCGGCGCTCACCGAACCGTTTAAAATTTCGTCAGATATATGCGATCCACGAAGGTTCTATGAAACAAAAGAACGACGCGAATGTGTTTGCTCTATGAGCCTGGAATCGTCGATTAGGTTGAAACTTACGTAAGTACCAGAAATATAAGCTTAAATAGTACCCGAAACTTTAAACGCGTTTTTCTCAAAACGATTTTTCTCTAACTGATGTGCACGATTTGAGACAAACTGCTGAACCGATCAACTTCTGCCTGTAGCTACATATTCAAAACATATGCTATTTTCGTCCGAACCAGTGAAATTAAAATATTCCTATAATATTAACTTTTCCTATTTATTTTCAATGAAAAACTGTCGATTTTTAAGGCGATTTTTCGAGCGTTTTCTTCAAATACAACTTGCTGAAAAACGATCCGTTTTCAATATCCCTAGTTCTAACTGAATGTCCTTAGTTTAATAATCTTTTTGGCTTTCTTGTTTCAGATTAACGAGTCATGAGATATCATGTGCACTATAGAGCAAAAACCGTTTATTTCAATTTCACATGTTTTTCAATAACTCTTATATTTCGCAGTATACATATAAAAATTCTGACGTACAAGTAAAATATGTAGTAAATATGTAGTATTTAGCGTACCAAGTTGTAAAATAATCGGCTGCGTAGTTTCCGAGAAAAAAATTCGCAATGATTGCCTCCTTTTTCGGTCGAGAAACGTCCCATTAATTAAAAATGATGATAACACATCGGAGATAAGATTGATTTATCTCATGTTTTATGATTTGTTTATTGTAACTGCTGAACTAGTGCAATAAATTACAGTGAAATAAATATATTTTTTCTCACTCTAATTTAATGTGCTTCAGTGTGCATCAATCGAGCAGTGCAATTATAAAGAATAGATGATTAATTTTTGCAAAATATTATTAAACTTTATACAAAGTTTATAATTTACTTATAAATTTGGATATAGATGTTTTGATATATAAAGTAACAGAATTGTACGATACAATAAATAGTCAACCTGTTACATTAATTTCTTCACACATTGGTTGATAAAATTGTGAAATGTATTTGCTGTTCGCAATTATTATTAGAGTTCTCTCGCGATAAATGCCATATTCTTCATACTTGATCTCTTCAAACTAAATGTCAAAGATGATATAAGTATTTAAAAAAAATTTCAAGATACTACTGTTGTCCAAAGGTTGCCTTTTATCTTAGATAACGTCATATTAAAAGTGAGATTATTGCGACTACGGTGCAGATAAACAAGATGCATATTGCGATATTGGCAGTTGTTAGTAGAGACTTGTATCGATGCAACGTAGTATCGTTCAGTCTACAGACTGATCACTTGTTTGTACAGTAGTGAATCAATACCGACAAGTTAATTTTGATAATTTATTATGGAATATTGGACAGTATTATTATCCATTGTTACGGGAACGCTGGGTATCCTTTATCTATACCAAAAGTTTCATTATTTCAAGAGACATAATGTTATTCACATGCCACCTACTCCAATATTTGGTGTTATGGCACCGATTTTATTTCGCCAAAAGTCTTTTGTTGATTTATTGCAAAAGTTGTATAATTTCAAACCGGACGCCAAGTACATTGGGTGCTACTCTTTCTTCGAGCCTATCATCTATCTTCGTGATCCGGAGCTTATGAAGGACATCCTTGTTAAGAATTTCGATACCTTTCCCAATCGCGCGGGTTTTGGAGATATTCATGATCCCTTGTTCTCGAAGAATTTATTTGCTCTTAATGGACAAAAATGGCGAGATGTAAGAACTTTGTTAAGCCCAGCTTTTACGTCCAGCAAAATGAAAATGATGTTCAGATTGATGACGGAGTGTGCAGTGGACTTCACCAAGTCTCTCTCGGAAATATCAGCGGATAAGAGCGACATTAATATGAAGGACGTCTTTGCCAAGTACACGAACGATGTAATAGCCACGTGCGCATTTGGTATTAAGATCAATTCTATGAAAGATCCCACAAACAAGTTCTATGTATATGGCAAGGAAGCAACCAATTTTGATGGGGTGACTGGTTACAAAATGATTTTTTACGGAATCTTCCCATGGCTGACACGAACTTTCAAATTGACAATTCTAAGCAACAAGATAGCAAATTTCTTCAAAGATATTGTAAAGACCACCATCGACACCCGTGATGCTGAAAACATTACACGTCCTGACATGATACAATTGATGATGGATGTCAGGGGTAAACGTGAGACTGGAAAAGAACTCGATATTGAGGAGATGACTGCGCAGGCATTTGTTTTCTTTCTTGGTGGCTTCGAAACCAGTTCAACCGCGATGTCTTTCATTGCCTACGAGATCGCAATCAACCCAGATGTTCAAGAAAGATTGCGGCTAGAAATTGATACAGCTCTGGAAAATTCGAATGAAGTGACTTACGAAGTTATTAATCGTCTTGAATATTTAGACGCGGTAATAAACGAAACTCTCCGGTTATATCCACCTAATATCATTCTGGAAAGAGTATGCGTGAAAGATTATGAGTTACCGCCCGCTTTGCCGAATGAAAAGCCCTTTACAATGAAGAAAGGTATGAATGTTTGGTTTCCGGTTTACCCACTTCAGCGTGATGAAAAGTACTACGATGATCCGGAAAATTTTCGCCCGGAGAGATTCTTGGACAACAATACATACCATAACTCTCCGTGTTTCGCACCATTTGGATTGGGACCACGAATGTGCATAGCTAATAGATTCGCCATTCTTGAGATCAAGGTCTTGCTGTTTCATCTACTAGCGCGATGTGAGCTGAAACTTTGCGCGAAAACCAAGTTGCCCATAAAATTGAGCAAATCTTTTTCTATGGCTCCAGAGGGTGGATTCTGGTTGAATATTCGACGTAGAAACCGTATGCATCCTACAATTTTGTCGTTGGCCTCCGATAGCAGTACTAGTAATTTTTTAATGATGCTTTAAATGCGCTGATATTTTACTGAATCATGTATACACGATTGTAAATAATAGCATAAAAAACATTTAATGTGGGAAATTCTATATGTATGAACCTTGTCATGAATTTTAAATAATGACACGTATATTGCTGTCATGTTTTCTTATATTTTAGTATTAAGCCTAGACGGGTGTATGTAAATTTTGTGACAACCTTATTAGTCTGCATATTGCAAAATCGATACATCCATAATTTTATTCATAGTTTAAGATTATTATATATATCTTCTCAGTAAACATTATTTTACAGGGCCGTCTCACGTTCAAGGCTAATGGAGCCCGATAATAAAGAATAGCTGCACTGTGGACGCTGCTTTACTGTAGGATGCTGTATTGCGCTTGATTCTTGTGTAACGTCATAACCAGTGTGACACACCCATGACATCAACGTACAAATTCCAAGCAGGTATATCGCGATAGTGACAGTTGCCTGCGGAGATTCGTGTGCGCAGTATCGTTTGCAAGCTAAATCAGCCTCAAGTATTCGTTTGTACATCCGCAACCAATTCCGACAAATTTTTACAATTAAATTTGCGACCATGGAATACTGGACGATACTGTTATCCATTGTGATAGGTGCTCTGGGAATTTATTATCTCTTCAGAACATTTCATTACTTCAAGAGACACAGTGTTATCCACATGACGCCTCTTCCGATATTCGGCAATATGTTGCCGTTAATATTTCGCCGAATCTCACTAACTGACTTTATCCAGATGCTTTACACTTTCAAACCGAAAGCCAAGTACTTTGGAGTGTATGCTGCGACGCAACCTGTCATCCTTGTTCGTGATCCGGAGCTCATCAAGGAGATCTTTGTTAAGAATTTTGAAATTTTTCCAAATCGCGTGGGATTTTCCTATATAAATGACCCGTTGTTCTCGAAGAATTTATTTTCTCTTCAAGGGCAAAAATGGAGAGATGTGAGAACAATGTTGAGTCCAGCTTTTACGTCCAGCAAAATGAAGACCATGTTTACATTAATGCTGGAATGTGCCGTGGATTTCTCCAAGGCTTTATCAGAAAAATCAGTAAATGAAAGCAACGTGGATATGAAGGACGCATTTACCAAGTACACGAATGATGTGATTGCTACGTGTGCTTTCGGAATTAAAGTGAATTCAATGAGCGATCCTATAAACAAGTTTTACGTTTATGGTAAAGAAGCTACTAACTTCAATGGACTGCGCGGCCTTAAATTTTTCATTTTCGGAAGCTTTCCAACACTCACGCGAATACTTGGTATGAAATTTATGAGGGATGAAGTGGGAAATTTCTTCAGAAATGCTATAAAGACCACCATCGACATCCGTGATAAGGAAAATATTACACGCCCTGATATGATACAACTGATGATGGATATAAGAGGCAAACGTGAAGCTGAAAGAGAACTCACTATTGAAGAAATGACCGCGCAAGCATTTGTTTTCTTTCTCGGTGGCTTTGAAACCACCTCTACCGCGATGTCTTTCATTGCCCAGGAGATCGCGGCCAATCCAGACGTTCAAGGAAAATTACGCCAAGAGATAGATGATGCTCTGAAGAATTCAAACGGGGAAGTGTCTTACGAAACTATTAATCATCTTGAATATTTAGAGGCGGTGATAAACGAAGCTCTCAGAATGTATCCACCTATTGCCATCCTGGAAAGAGTAAGCATAAGAGATTATGAATTACCTCCCACATTGCCGGGTGAGAAGCCTTTTATTGTAAAGAAAGGTATACCTCTCTGGGCACCAATTTACTCAATTCAACATGATGAGAAGTACTACGATGATCCAGAAAAATTTCGTCCAGAGAGATTCTTGGGCAACAACGCATACTACAATTCTCCATATTACGCACCATTCGGTTTGGGGCCACGAATGTGCATAGCCAATAGGTTTGCTATGCTGGAGATTAAAGTCTTGCTATTTCATATACTGGCACGGTGCGATCTGAAACTTTCGTCAAAATCTATTTATCCTATAAAATTGAGCAAAACGAATGCCACATTGTCTGCAGAGGGTGGCTTTTACTTGAATATTAAACCTAGAAGCGATATGCATATTAGAACCTAGTAAACATCCAATATATTAGGACCTTAACTTAGTTTCCGCCCGCAAATGTTAGATGGCAATGCAAACAGTTCTAGTAGTCATTACTAACGAAACAGGTAGTTTGTGATTAATTTCGACATTTCTCGATAACATTCAGTCAGCATACACAATTATTTTCCTAAACAACAATTTCTTTTGCTTTGTGAAAAAT